CGGGGCGTCGTAGTTGAATGCGTAAGCGATCCTCCGATGCCCCATTAAGACGGGGGAAGGTTTTGTTGGGTTTTAGTGGGTAGTACTGGCTTTGCCGGTGAGTGCCACACCTCGTTCATAAATGCATTTCCCAACGTTAAAAAAAAGGTATTGATATGTTAGCTGCTGCCCAGGATCATTTTTGTAAAATTTTCAACAATATTGTTAATCGGACAGTCAAAAGTAGAATCTAAACTTATTAAACTAGAAATATTTTCATTAATATCTTTGGTAAATTGTAACTATTTTATTTTATTGTAATTATTTTATTATAACATCTATATTTAATATTATAAAGAGGCAGTTTGTTTGTTTATTTGTTTGTTTGTTTATAAGTTGTTGGTTTATAAGGTGTTCGTTTGTTGGTTTTGTTTGAACGCACTAATCTCAGGAACTACTTATTCGATTTGAATAATCTGAATATTCTGAGCATAAACAATAACCACAAGATCAAATCAGAATATTAAGGTTTTACCACAATTAGTAATTACTATTTAGGAGAAGTTGTTGAGAAATATTGTGCACAACATACATTAGTCATGAATAAACATCAGAAAAATCTATATTTCCTAAATATCTCGTTTACTCGTACCCTTATTTTCCAAAATATGTAGGTATATAAACACATATATACTATACATATATACATATAGGGCTATAGCAATTTTTCAATTAATTATTTAAAAAAAATTACAGCATTTGTAATATTAAAAAATAACACAATATTATTTTTTTGTAAAATCAATAGATAACCAGTTAGTAGAAAATATACCCTAGTTTCAAAACTGCTTTCTCTTTGCTCTGCTTCTTAGTATATTCAATGCAAAAAAAAAAAAAAAACTTTTTTCTACCTAAACCGAATCCTTAATGTACTAGTGATAGTTCTTTTAAAATAGATTAAGCAGTTTTTCTTATTTTGGTTAAAAAACTACGTCAGCTTTGCCTAAATGCTATTTTCACAAGTGAAAGTTCCCATAGAATCGGATCAACTATTTTGAAAATTAACTGATAGAAAGAAGATAGACAAAAATTATTTAATGGTACCTTAGCTAGGATGAAGCAAATAATTATATGATATGAGATGAAAAGATAACACAATAAACACTTTAAAAAAACCGACTTCAAAAAAAGCACTTAAAGTAAAAAATATGTGATTGGTAGTTTTCATTTACTATAAATACCTAATCAAATATTTTCGAAGTCGGTGTGCTTTGCTTTGTATGGCTGGCACTGAATTCGAAAATATTTGATCAAGTATGTATAGTAAATTAACACCAAAAACTACTAATCAGTTAATTTTTACTTTTTAGTGCATTTTTTGAAGACAGTTTTTTTTAGTTTATATTCTTCCCTTTTTAGTGTAGACATAGTAGTAGCAAAGTACGAAGAAATTATTTTAATAAAATATTCGCTTAAACCGTTGAAGTTATTTTGATGCTAATTTTTATACGAAGACTTCGTATAAAACTTCGACAAACTAAAATTCGCTGTTATTAGTAACACTAAAAATTCTGGCTCTAAATCTGATTCTAAAATGTTAGGCTTGTCAAATCAAACAAAATAAGCCCAAACTTAAAGTATCTACTATTAGGCGTTGAAGAGTTCCACCTATCTACCTTACCATCAGATCAGGTCAACGATACCGAACCAATGCACTATCAACGGAAATAGCAACACTTGCAAAGTTTCAAGTCAATATGACAATTAGAAGTAGGTTAAATTCATCATTAGCTATTTTAGGGGTGGTTTTTTTTTTTGAAATTTAATTGAGACCAATTTGGAAGAAACTTTCAAATAAAACAAAAATTGTCCAAATCGGTTTATAAATGACGGAGTTCTGAGGTAACAAACATAAAAAAAACATACAGCTGAATTGAGAACCTCCTCCTTTCTGAGGAAGTCAGTTGAAAATAAGAGAAGTAACTGAATATTTCAATTTAAATAGTTTGTTTACGGTTAAAATACGAATAGCGTACGTTAATGTCGTGCAATATACTTAATTGGTTTACACGTGCATGAACAGTTTTAAACGGTAGTAAATAATTGCGCTATTTAAAAGAGCAACTGTTGAGTTTCTCGCGGGCTCTTCTCAGCAGAACTGCTTTCCGAGCCGGTGCCGGTCCACTCATGGACAGACTACGTTGACGCTCTTGGAATTAAATTGACGATTCAAAATGATAAAAAAGTTTATTTTCAATTCTGTCACTGCTAAAATAAACTGCAAAATATTTGATTTACTGACTCAATAATAGACAGTACCAGGTATTTAGATATCCCGGGGGTATTTCCCTTTCACACTCGTATTAAGAATACATACTTCTATACTCGAGCTTAGTGACTTACTACACATAATCAAGTATTGATATTTCTTACTAAAAACTAAGTCTATTAAATAAAAGATAGCCTAATAGCCAAGGGTATTTTATAAATCTTTAATTGTGAAATAATTTTGTAAATCAAATTAGGAATTTTGTTTATTTAAACTCAAAAATTATAAGCAATTAATAAAAACAAAATCAAAATTGGTTTAATAAAAAAATACATAAATGAGAATCCAAAACAGGTATTGCTATTGTGCATTGTGTATGCACTGCACTTCCTTCTATACGATTTATTATAATTGTAGATTTGTAACGTAATATATTACTAATTATAATTCTCTGAATATAATGCTTTCCATAATAAATATTCATTGAATATAATTAATTCATTGTTACATATTGTTTGCATTTATTAGGGCTTTGTTGTTCGTAATTAATTCTCCTATTTAAATAGAAAAAATGTATATATAACGTTTAATAAGTTCTTTTACCCAATTATTAGAGTCAGTCGTTATAGTTTAACCGACTACAAAAAAAGATAAAATCCAAAATTTTAAAGATTTGAGAGTCAGTGTAAATATTTAGTTAAAATCGTTACGCCCTCCTATTATCCTAAAACTGAATCTATACAAGTACCTACCAACTAACTACTTACTCTCGTTTGCCTCAAGTGTGTCCCTGGGGTGTCTTTTCTATTAAAATTATTATGTAAACAGGTACCGCCACCTTTTGGCAATTCTTTTTACTAACAGTAGCTTATGTATTATTATCCAGGTTATAGTCTATTTTACTAAATTTTATCGAAAACCGTCCAGCATGATAAATAAATAAATATGTTGGGGCATTACACACAGAACAATCTTAGTTCCATGGTAAGCTACGAGGCCTGTCTTATTTATACCAGATAGTTAATACACTACACATACTATATAACATTAACCATGACTGGAGCACAAACATTCGTCCTCACACAAATGAATGCCCCCAGCGGGATTCGAACCCACGACCGCTAGCACAGCAAGTAGCGTCACTGCAAACTGAGCCAAACGTATCGTCAAACAAACATAGACACAAACAAAAATACACTCAAACCTCGCATTAATATATTTTAGTAGTAAGCCATTCAATTCTATTTACATTTACATTGTAAATTCAAAATATCGTTTAGCTTATGACCACCGAATATTTTATATTCCCAAATCGAATCCTAATAGCTAAACATGCAAAGGTTAAATAAATTAAATTAAACATACAAAAATTTAAATGAATGCATCCACTTTATATAAAACTAATCCACACTATAAAACTATGTTAGAAGAATTTCTGTTGTTGTTGTAGTCGTTCTCAAAGTATTCTTTTTAATCTAATAGGTGTTATATTTTATAGAGGTACATATAATATATTTCGTACTAAAATTTAGTAACAGTTATAACCGAATCCGAATTCTAAGCCTATGTTATAAAATGTAACAATAACAACAAAAATTACTTCATTCTTCTTTCTAGTCAATCTAACAGTGCAGTTAGTTTTATATAGATAAAAATATTTCGTTCGTGTTTCAGACAATGGCGCCCAATGACGCAAATAAAACTTTTGTTGGAACCAGAGGTAAAAAAGTGGAAAATCTGGAGATAGAGTCTTCATAAACGGGAATGTCAGGGTTATATCCCGAATCCCATAACGTGAAGGAATTATCAAATATTTTATATAATAAGGTACGTTTATAGTTATGTTTATATAAATAGGCAAAGACAAAACAGATCCGTATGTTTTTCTCATCTTTTTATGAACAGATTTTCTTTTTTGTTTTTTTTTCATTTAATAGCCCTTGATGAGCTTTAGTGTTATCAATAAAATAAATTTTGAACACA